GGTTGGCCTTTTGACGTCATATTTCCTTAATTCATATTCAAAAGCGGCCCAAGAAAGCGCATGTGCAAAATTTATGCAAAATTAATGACTATTTTTTACAAACGCGGTTCTATGAAGCACTATATATATATGTTAGTAAGTGTTTTACAGAAATAAGAAACATTCTCCGATCGCTATCGCCTCCGTCCAAGTTTCTGATTTCGATAGAACAGCATGGATGAACACTAATCTATACATAGATATTTGAAACTTGGGATCAAGTATAACTTTTTGATGACACTTTACAAACCACAAAAAGTGGGATACCTAGTCTCTATTTCGTGTATGATATGCAAGAAAACATATCAATCGTGATTACATATCGGATTTAGATATTTCTATCCGGACAGATATTATTATGCAAACACTAAATTATATTCATTTTCTTTATTTAGTTCTACATATCCTCGATCTTATGTCTGGAAAGACCTTACCAAGAAACATTACTTTTCTATCCAAAAATAACTGATATATAAAGTAAATCCCTTAAGCAGAAGAACGCGCCATACGTAATCATTGATATTTGTGCGCCATACGTTATCATTTCCAGGAAATGCCCTGATATGAATATTAACAGCGGTTATTCTAGTCAGAATGGGCATGAATGTTTAGATGACGACATATTATAACTTTTTGTTATACAAATATCAACGAAACACTGAATTTTAGAGAAGATGCCGTACGTTACCATGATCAAACCGATGGAAAATTTTCTCGCTTCGATTCTGATGACGCGCATTTCAGATGAAGAACAGGACATAACATCATGAAATAAAATCCTTTGTGCCCGGAAAATTGTGGATAATGTTGATATATGTATCTTTACACTAGAACATTACGAATTTCAGAGAAAAAAAGGGAAAAACTTACTTTTCGACTGCACCCGCAATCTTGTTTGTTTGGGTAACGAACGGAATGATTCTCCCCCGTGATGTATGTATGTCACTGTTCCATACGTCTTTTAGAAGAACAGACTAAATCCGCATAGTAAACAACTATTAAATTTCTGAGTATTAAGCATAAATTGTATAATATAAATTAGAAAGGTTTCAATTTAATCGTTGTAGTCAGCGTTTCTCACATATATCATATATTTATATAACGGATAAAGTAAATAATGATTAGACTACAACTTTAGAAATTAGACAGTGCATACACAATGACATTATCACATAAATAAAAACAAATCTTTAATCAAAATTTGTATACACATTCTATATACAATCAATTTTCTAACATACAATGGACACTATATATTTAATTTATAACAGTAAAATTCAAGAGGTCAGCTATGACAGCATCATTAAAATAAAGCACAACAATACTTATTCGTAAAAAATGATAAATTACCATCTCATAAAACATGGGCACTTAAAAAGTTGAACAATTTGTCACTGGAAAACTGGATTTAGTATGTCATTTATTTCAACTCATTTTTTTCTTTTTAAACCAAAGTAAAACTTAAAAAAAAATTATTTCAGAATTGAAAGAAGACTCATATTTTGCATGAGCATGGCGACTTTGATAGTATTTCTGAGAAGAGAAATAAGTGCAAAATATCTTGATCACATTATAAAATATAAAAATAAATTTATAAAGCCGAAATGTGACGGAAATATCCGTTCTATGGTCATCTTAGGTGAGCTTAAAGTGAGACGTAATGGATGATGTTTTCTATAATTTATGATTTTTTTTGAAAATTGTGAACTAAACAACAGTGTGAACAGGTACAAGCTTTGCTATATAGCGGTTCTGCAGCTATAAATATCAGAGAATATAAATAGCTTGTTTTCACTGAGACAACAATTTAATGTGAAACAATCTTAATCTTAAGACTTAGAAAGTCAATTCCAATTTAGAATGTCTCATAATCCTTATTAAAATAAAGATCTCGGAAATGACGAGAAACGAAATCTAAGTGATTGCGATTTCTTTAAGCCAACTTTGAACCTATTAAGCATTTTCCAACTTTATCTTTGACAAATACGATTCTTAAATCGATTTTTAAACACTTATGCTTTCATCTCCTTAACGATGCTTTGTTTTTTATTGTTTTTTTTTTTCATTATCCTTATAATTCAATTTTGACCATGTTTGATCATTTTGCGAGTTTGCCGATGATGAGTTAAATTTTGAGTAAGATTCAAAGAAGTTGTTTCATCATTGAATATCGCCGCTCATGTTTTGGTAAATCAACAGCCCTGCAAAACTTTCTATTAATATTCTGAATTTCATGGTTAACGGTTTGCATATTATTGGTTATGCTGTGAATGTCACTACCAAATGTTTGTACACGTGTTTCTAAATTTTCTATTTTATTTTGGAAATTTGAAAATTCTCTTTCAGTGTCAAAACTTTTTAAGCAAGGTACATCAAGTTCTGCTAAAATAGGGACGATAGGTGTGACGACTACTGTCCCGTATGATGTACCTCCCTCTACAATCCCTATACATTTATTTTGTGAATTTTTCTCAACAACGAACACAGGCGCACCTGAATCGCCATTGTCAGCAAACGGAATGCCATTTTCAGGAGCTTTAACTTCAATTTGCTTAAACAGTTGTATCGGGGCATATCCATGAACAAGTGAGGATGCATCCAACGATTTTACTGAGGTAGTATCAAATTTTATTATTCCATGACGTAATTCGGTTTTTGATCCAAATTTTATGACTTTAGCATCCTCCTTCTTATTCAGTCTGTCGGTGCTACACATCCGCCAACTGTCGTATTTAATACTTGTAGCACTATTTGATCCTGTGAAAAGAAGCCAACAACAATTTGATAGTTAGTATATAATAAATGTGTTCATTAGTTAACAGTGAATATTAAATCGAACTGGTACATCTTTGAATAATAATTTGAGGTCATATATTTCATCAAATAATAATTAACACATATTAACACATATTTCACGTAATATACAAATAATTTGCTTTTTACATTTCATTTTTCAATTTCAGTCACCAAAAGAAGTGAGCAAATTTCAATCATGCAAACGTTGAAAAGTAGTTAAAATTAGATGTTTTATTTTCTTACAATGGAGAATAACGGAATCATAAAGAAGGCAAAAAAACGACAAAATTGAAAAAGCTGCAGGCTCAATTCAGATTGTTCATTGACGGTGTTACAGCCAACGTCAAAACTGGAAGTTGATTTCAATCCAAAACATAGAGACAAAGATGCTATATGAAGGCGTTTATTCCTCTGCCACATTCAACAGATTTATACATGTAGTATAGAAATATAAATATTGGTCAATAAAACTTTTCAAATTATTTTAAGAAACAATAATTACAGACAGGAACGTACATGGACAACTGATATTACCTGTCTCATCGGGAAAACTTGGAGATTTGGGATGCCTGTCCGTGATTTTGAACAAAGCTACATCCATTCCATAATTTTCGTCTGAACCTTTTTTGTAAATAACTTGAAACAGTGTGTGTCCTAATACAGATCGTTTGTCAGCAGGCTGATATACCATTTTTGCAACATTCTATGTAATGGCCATTTAAACGTACCGCTATGATTTATTTTCCAGTTGAGTCATCTCCCAACGTGTTAAAAGAACATGTGCACATGTCATCCACAGATTCCAAATTGAGGATGATCTATGAAAAACCCAAGAGTTCCTTCAAGAATATCTCCACCTATTTGACTTCCCATTTTAACAGGATCAAGCAGGTCTTTGGCAGTACGTCCGAATGGAATAAAGGCACCTTCTCTAACATCAACTGGAATACTGTCATAATTTGTTTTAAATGGTTCTTCATCAATTGGAATGTAATTCTTTTTCTGGACGTAAAGGACAATAACAATTTTCAGGCAGCAAATTCCAGGAAGCGCCAAATCCTCTTGATCTATTTGGGACATGCAGATATAATTGACAGATACTTGTGCTCTTCATCAAATCTTCAGAGTGTTTTGAAAATGCAGGTCTGAAGATTTTCATAGGATTCTTCATCTAATTTCGCAGCATGTGAAGCCTGTTGCTTAATTACCTCAGAGCCTTCTAAGCTAAAATCGTCAGCGTATTGTTTGACAAATGAATATTGGATCAATTTCTCTAAACGTACAGACTCTTTACTTTTGTTACCTTCTGAATTTGTGCTTCACAGTTATTACAAAAGTTATTCTTTGCGGTTTTCAATTGTATACGCAGCCCAAACATATGCAATAGCGACATGTTTTGATTTGATATATTCACAAATTGCCTTGCATGTGACGATTATCGCTTTGGATTTCCTCCCAAAAATCTGACACATCTCATCAAGTATTCTTTGTCTTGGCAGCCTCCCTGATTCAATTAATGTTTTAATGTTTTTTACTTTCCCCGAACAGAGAAAAGGATCTAACTCTTCATCGTCATCACCTAGAAAAACGTCTTCGTCTTTAAAATGGTAAAAATTTTCATCCTTAATATGGGCTTTACACCATGTGTTTACGAGATCTTTTGAAAAAGATGTTTTCCCAAATCCTGCGGCCGCTGATACATATATTTCCTGTGAAACCTTTTTACTGGGTGTAGACAGGTCCTGTAACGACTTGACTCTAGTTGTCTCTTTCCTTCCACCTGGCAGATAAGTTTGTATGTCAATTTCTGGCATAATGTAGAACCCAGCTAGAGGGGTATGTGAATCATCTGTGAGTGGGGAAAGAGGAACTGTACTCTGATTGGTGTTGTACCATGTTATAAGTTCATCCTTCAGTTCTGAAATAGAAATAATTGACATTTTTTTTTAATTCATTCACTTATTTCAATGTTTTCTTATGAAAACACCAAAACAGACATTTGGTTTACTTTTTTTGAAGATCTAGATCTACTTTAAGCACTCATTTGAATGAAGTTCTAATCACTGATAAAAGATGTCAACTAAAGGGAAAGAAAACAAATTTCTAAAAACTAAGATAACCAAGCATACAAATATTTGAAATAAATTCTTACAAATCTATTTCTTATTTTCAGTCGCGTAGCAGACGAACAATTTGTACCTATAATATTTAACTAAAAAGTTATTCATTCAAATGTTTTAAAATACCTTTTTGTTGTATGCGCTATGCATTAATCATTTTTTGCTATTTAAATCTATAAATTTAATTTGTTGTAGAACTGCGACTTAACTTAATTTAAAATGCACCTAGCTGCACTAGATAAACTGTAAAAAACATTTAACTATAAATAGTACAAGAGACGATGAGCACTGTATTGTCAATGATTCACACCCGTTAACCAGCTGCGCGTAGAATATCATTTTGCGAGGAGAACAGCTTTGCATGAGTTGCAATAGGGTACATCTGAAATAAATTGCTTCAAAGTGTATGAAAGTGGTGATCATAGAAATATGGTGTACCATTTGGGTCATTGCCTGTGTTCAAAACGAAGGGATGCAAACATATAAGGACAAAAACGCTTAAACCAGATGGGATGAAAATGTTAAAAAACAAACATGAGAAAGTACCATGATCACGGTGGTATCACATCTGGCATACGTGTATATTTTTGATCCAGCCCATATGGATATCAAATTTTAGCATAGGTTAAATATATATCTTTTATGACAAAGGAAAGTGACAAAATCTTTATAAAAGTATCGTATAATATATTTTACACACTATTTTATAAACGAACTCACTGTTCAATAACTTGCGAGCCAATACAATTCAATACGTACCCTGTTTTGCGAGTACAAGCACATGTTACTTCCGATCACTGTACCTCACTTTACTTTGTATCTTTCTTGCGAGTACAAGAAGTAGACTGGTATATTTACTGTTTAAATTCAAATGGATATTCATCACTTCATTTCTCCACAAGTGTATATATTTGATAGATCTCCACTTACAGGCACAATTATTTTCTTATTGATTGTCATAAATTGTGAAAGAAGTATAAAAATAGATCTATCTTATAAAAACTTTCCTCAAAAGAAATATGCTTCTATTGTGTAGAGTAAACAATGCGAACTCAAATGAAGATTGGTATAAAAATGGTAAACTTGGTATGAAAATGGTAAACTTCAATCGATTTATTATTTTGACAGCAAATTGTAATTGTTTCATAATCAACACATCAACATATCGGTAATTAAGATATACTTTGTAGTGATTTATAATGGGTCAGTTGAACAGAAGTAACATGTTACAAGTCGATATTATGTTTCAGTTATTTTCGTATGATAATCACTCATTATTTACAAAATAAATATGATCTATTACCGCAACAATCCCAGTCAAATACTTGCTATTGTACTTATGTGTGGTATGAATTGGAAATAATTTTACTGTAAAAAGTGGCAAGTGCGTTTTTATACTTCCTCAAACTTAATTTTATAACTCTACACCGGCATAATTAAGTTACGATACAGAATATTTTAACCTATAAGTTAGTGGTTTGCTTTAAAGATTAAGGTAGATATGAAAATGTTTATTACATATCTACTTATGAAAAAGGCGGCAGGTATTTTCTTTATCAATCAAAATTGATCTTTTCGAAACATTGGATGATTGTTGATATCATGTATATTTGTTGATGGCATACTATGTTCGTTATTTTGTTTATCGTATGTCCTCATCGACTTTAAAGTCTATTGGAATAAAATAAAATGTCTACTGTCTCTAATCAATATCGTTATATACTAAATGTCTTTTATCTCTATTGTTATGGATGGTATTATTCAAACTCGACTTTTATTCCGAATATAAGGTTAAATAACAGAATGGTATACAAAAGTATAAAACATTGATTGCTTTATGGATATCCATATTTATGTTGATGGTTTATTTTTTCATGCACACATGGATCTTCTCAGCACATATGGAGCTCGAATGGAATTACTTTGTTTTTAGCCAAAATCAATATGTAATAAGGGTTTGTTTGAATTTAAAAGTTTTTTTGACAAATATTTTTCCAGATAAATGTATCATTTGGTGTTGGTTTTGACTTACTGATCTTTGTGCAAAATTCAAAATTTTACATCATTCGCGCACTTGGTTTTTCCAGAATAATTATTCAAATTGTAAAAATATGACTTTAAATGAAAAGCGTTTGAACTTTTTTCACGCAAATCGGGTTAAGAAAAGCATAAAAATACAATTACAATTTATCTCAAAGTATATTTCTTAAATATCTTTGCATATATTTCTGTTTAAAGTGCTCCAGCTCATTTATGTAAGGAATCCAAATGTTATGTTTTAGACTTTTAAACCTCAGTAGAGTCCCTTTAAACATCGTTTAGTGGTATGACTTCTTAAAAATTCTGAATTATGCGTCCGTTTACACCAGAACCCACGACGGAAAGAATAGTTCGAGGAAAACTGCACGAAAATCCAAAAGAATTCCATTCATTAAGAATTTAAAGATACACACGATCGTGTCCGGACTGTAACTTTGTAACTAACTGTACGATTTTAAAGATTTGCCACGAATATCTACCACATTAAGACGACGTGTTGTGTCCAAGGCCAGTGTCACTACCTTAAAGGTCAAGGTCACACTAAGAGGTTGAAGGTAAACATTCATGTCCAGGCTGTAACTTTATCACGCATTGAAGGATGTTACGAAACCACTTAGCACAAATGGCCTGTACACTAAACTTTGTGTCGCGTGATAAAAATGTGTCTCTTCTTCTAAAGTTAATGTCACACTCGGAGTTTGTAGATCATTGAATCCACTATATAATTGCAAAATTTACTTGTGTCTGAACTCTAGATGTCTTCTACTTTTAAATTGATGTCATTCATGTTTAATACTTACATGCCTTTGGAGGTTGACTTTTTAGAGTACCGTTATGGGTCATTTTGGTGAAGGTCAATATCATCAATGCCAATGTCCTTTCAGTTTTAGTGGAGTTTGGAGACACTGGATTAAAGGTCAAGGTCATGTTACATGTGATATGGCGACAATAGCTTTATTGGTAAAGGAATAATTCATGTGACCCTCCGTTTCAGGTACAAGCGGACAAGCAGAGTAAATTCACTGACGTTCATTTCGTCAACTGGATAATTGCTGTACATGAAAGAATCCATTGATTGGCAGGATCCCACAGTAGTAAGGAGCAAGTGTGTAAATGAGCTTAACCACTCGACCACGGGCGCAATGAAATTATTATATATTCATGCCTTAATGCATAACCGGGAATACATTTAGCCACAGGCACGAGTATCGGACCTGGGAAGAAAAATATGACCAGATAGATAAAAAAAAACCCTGTGTTCACCTGAAAGTGTCAATAAACCCAAAAAATTGTAAAATATGCCCCCTTTAAAAATATACTATAAGAAGACCGGAAACTCCAGATTCGAGCCTACGAGCAAGGAATTTATTTCACGGGCCGTTGTGAAAACAATTGTCCAGACAATGAAAAAAAATCACTAGATTATGTTTGTATTAGCTACCAAACGAGTCGACCCCAAGCCTCTAGCCCTTCCCGTTCATGAAATATCTATCAGGAAACGAGCGCATTTGTGCAAAAAATCCTTTGTAGACAAAATTAAGTGATTTTGACACGTACTCAGCTGACAAATTCGGATTTCCAAAGAAAACTAATTTTTTAGACATGCAATCAAACGCATGAGACAAAATATCAAAATACCGTTATCCAAATTGTTGATTTCTGTTAAAAAAAATGTTTGAAGTTATTTTTTACAAATTAACTTGAAATAGTATAGTCAATTTTTAATGGGCAAGATATTTTGGCAATTTACCTCGCGGCTATATGGACAACGCCATTTTTGTTCTTTATTTCCTACTCAGTATTATTTTCCCAGGGTTAAAATTAAAAACTAATTATGAAAGGTCGCCGATGATTGGCTGTGTGAAAACTCACCAGGAATGATTTCGTATACGGCACGGTCAAATCTAAAAGCGGGGCGATATGAAGAGCTGATTTTAATCAGATTGCCCTATGTGGTCCCTCAATTTAGGTTTGCTTACTATTCTGACATAGTCAGTCTGTTCGGAGCTAGCTAAAGGTGAAAATGATGAATAACTTCAATTTCAAACGTACTAAAAAGATAAAACTTCTTCAATTTAATCAATCTTTGCGTTCCAAATTGCTTTATTTATATGGTGTGGTCTTAACGGAACACCGTAAAAAGTGACATAAAAGAAGAACCAGTTTATATTGGACATTTGGATATATTCGGGAATATACATAAATGTCTAAAATATTGTCACAAGTTATATATCAGCATGCATATATAAAACTCGTTTGTGCAACAAATAACCTAGTAATTTGGGTTAATTCAATTGCTTTATTTTCAAATACCTCCAGTAAAGATAAACAAAACAATATAGGGCATGGATGGCATTTATGCAAAATAAATAAACAAATGAAATAAAAATATACAGTGTTTTTTTTTCTGATCGCTAATTTGTAAATTTGTTAGGGTCAATGATATCTGGTAGATGTAAATGGGTGTCGCCTACAATTTACTGAACAGCTGTTTTTTCCGCAATCAAATCTTCTACCGGCAACAGGCTATTCTACGCGCAACATAAATATTGTCCAATAGTATTGTGGATGTATCTATACAGCTCTGCCAACAAATCAACATTAAAATTGATTTTCCGTTGTTAAATGTTATACAAAATGGTGTCACTTTTAAATGGCTGGTTTATTTAAATGGAGAAGCATCTGAAAGAATTAGAAACTCTCAGAGGGTTCATGAAACAATTTCAAAACACGTTACTAGGGCTCATGTGGAAAGCTTTGCCGAAGAAAGGCAACACAATCTTTGTTTTGGACTTGGACTTATTTTCAAATGTTTATCAAAATGGGTGTGGTCGGACATCGGCATGACCATTAAGAATACCCGACCCTTTTGAGATTATGGCGGACTGTCAAATTGTATAACATTTTTTCTTCAATATGTCTGGTCATATTATCTAAGACAAAATTGCATAAAAAACTCTTTGAGTCTCGGTATAATTAAAAAACCTTCCATTGCCCTCAAGTTTTGAGATATGTTATAAATTTCGACGACCACCATCATCTTCATGATCACCAGCAACTAAGCAATCATTATTTTGATCACCATTATAATGATAAATAGAAGTAAATATTTTATAAGATTGATGATAAATGTCATGAATGTAATAAGCATATGAAGTTTTTGGTAAAAACATTCATAACTGTCCGATATGATTGAAATAAGACAATAATTTGTTTTTTAATGATTTGAAAAAAATATATATTATTTATCGTTTTATTTTAAACTTTTCATGATATAATTTTGTTCAGTTTTATAATACACACATACAAAATATCAAAAATCTCGAAATAAACTCAAAGTTGAGATTTACCTTTCCTAGTTTCTTCCTTTAATTTCAATTCTTGTATTTGTTTATCAAGTTTGCACGTCTTTTTGTTAAATTCATCAATACTCTGTGCATGCTTTCTCGTGGTTTGATCTTGCACTCTCAGAGTACATTTAATCTTCTCCTCCTCCATTTTCAACAGTTTTAAATCTGCTTCTACCCCCTTTTCTAACATTTTCCAACTGTCTATGGCATTCTGAACCCTTATCTCCGCAAATGGATCAAGTGGATTCACTTTAAAGTCATCAATTATCTTTTGCAGGCCTGGTATGGGAGACACCGCCGTGTTCAACCTCAAAAGAACCTGAAAAGACATAGTAAATACCATCAATTTCGTCAATATTTCATATAAAATAAGATACCAAAACAGAAACGTATATATTAAAAAAGTAAATAGTTAATATATGTACGTAAAAATATGTTAAAATTATTTTTACCTCTTTTAATACTTCCAGATATACAGTAAGAGAAGCTCAATATGAAAATAATGTTGATGTTTAGAAACAAGTATGGAACAAGTATAGAAGATACACTTAACATATATTGTTTTTGTGCAATGAAAACGAAAAGTAAATTGACTATTGACCTGGAACAAATAGTAAATTTCTACTTGAAATGATTTAGCAGAGAGAATGACGTAACCTGAAACAATACATGTTTTCAATACATCTGCGGATGTTTCAAAATTCAAAATTTTACCAGATCATGTTAAATATTGAATTCTGCTTAAGCCGGTGCTAGGGAGCGTGGACGGTAGTGTGCACTTGACAGTACCGTCCATTAACAGGCTCACTAAAACAAAGCCTATAACATTTTCAGTTTTGTCGTGTTGGGCTTTCTTTAGGATCCTTATTTCTCTCTATTTTATCGTCACAAAAGCGTTGTTTGTGCCGTGTGGAGGCTGTTAAAAATCGCCCCGTACATTCAATCAGGGATGTTATATTACCGATCCGTAAAGATCGTTCAGCACGACATTATTGTTGTGCTTGTGGTATTTTAGTTTTTTCTATTCTGCATCTTTCTTGTTGAGTGGTTCCAGTATACCTCACTTGAATACTGTTGAATCACCCTCAGGATATGTGGCCTGCTTTTTAAATTTGTCTTTTGACGTCATTTATGTGATATCTAGGCTTCATAACCTCAGACCCCCTTTCAAAATTCCATTTTAATTAGTTCCGCCCATTGTTATCTTGTTTAGGGCACACGCATTTCTTACTGGGACCATAGGGCCTTTTCAGGAATACACTAACTTTAAACTTAAAGGGTTCCATGTAACCCCATATGAACACATCTGCGGGTTTTTCATGTTTTTTAAATGTTGAATTCTGCTTTTAAAAAAATCGTTGTTTTGGGGGGGTGGAGGGGAGTTTGCCTTTTCAGTACCCTCCATGAACAGGGTCAATCAAACCCAGCCTGCAACATTTCCCGTTTTTCGTGTTGGCTTCTTAAGGGGTTTTTTTTTATCTCTTTTTTTTTATCTTGAATTATACCCGGAACGATATTTTTTAAGGTTGACTCAATGCTAAAACTATGTCACATAACCGCTCCGACGCGCCGAAAGTTGGATACTGACGGGTTTTTCGGTGTATCATTAATTATTTTTAGAAATTAATGTGCGATTCGGAGATTAATCTGTCGATCGGCGCATCGCCCTCTTAAATAGCGTTTTTATCAGTGAGGTGCCGGCCAGTTTCTTTTTCTACTAAATTATTTCAGATCGATAGGTGGAATTTTTGGTGTTTTTTTTAGAAGTGTCAACCTCGGTGCCTTATCGCCGGTGTTCGCCCAACTACAACCGATTTTGTATACATCGCCTAAGTTTGTGATTTTTCCGACTCTTTCTCCGACGTCAATTGATACAAATTTAGGCGGGCCTAGACAAGCATTGATTGGCAGTAGCATGTCCTTTGCCCGACGAATAATCTCCTTCTTCTCTATGATGCTGCGCCGACGGCTTTTTGTTTTGTTTGATTTTAGTTTGGCAACAACACGCGGGCATTTCAATATTTTATCAGACTCGAATGATGCCTAGTCGCCGATCAAAGGAAAAAGCCGTCGCCGGAGCTACGTACGTGACTGCTACACAAACACCCCATACACACACACAAACACGCACACAAACACCCACTCGTCGTTCAGTGGCTATTTCCCACCAAAGACCAAAACATTTGGGGGTTACCCATTCTTATGACTCTTCTATAATGAATTTTCAGTTGGAACACTATGGTAAAGTGCAATGGCTGTAAAAATGTAAAAATAATTTATCTTAGTTCCACGATCAAAGATAATAAGACATAAGAAAATAAAAAAGTTCATATGGTCTGTCTAACCTGTTCGATCTCCGTCCACTTTGCTTTGAAGACATTTATTGATACTTCACTTGTTGAAGATATGCAACTGAGCTAAAGAACGAGTGAATATATACATTTACATACATAACATTTACATAGCTGTAACAAAATGAAATTGATATGTAAGGCTACGCCATCATAGGTTTATTCATTTAATATAACTGTTGTAACCCATCCGTTGCAATATTACATATAATGTAACTAATACATATTTTTTCTTATAAACAATAGCAGAATAAAATATAACTATAAATTTCGTTATATAGATTACATTCAATAATTCAAAAGCTAGCTCAACAAAACCCTTAAAATGCCTATTTTTGTACATTAAAAGCACGTAAATATTATAGAGAGAGCATCGACATACGAGGCCATCTAATTTGAACGAGGGCTCGTAGTTCTCCCGAGTATAAATCAGATTGCTTTGCGTTTTGATGATCTTTCGTCAAAATAAAAAGAAAATACCTCGTTTCTGTATATTCTCAGACGAGATATATCAGCCTCAATTGAGGTATCGCCTGCTGCAGGAATTGAGTTCCATTGAAAGTTCTTGTTCAGCCCGAATGACTTGATGTTTCTTAGGAGACATATGATTAATGTGATGTCTAGGTCTGTTGTAGTTGGACCGCTGCCACCTGATGGAAACAGTAGATCATATTGTACCTGGGTAATTATTCCGCGTGATTTTAGTTTGGTTATTGTTGACCTCTCTTGTTGCAAAAATGCGCTTAGAGAAACATTTTGAAGTTTCTGATCAAAAATATTTCTTAGTATTAGTAGTCCACCGTCTATAATCAGCATTTGCAGACGAAACAGAAAGCACTGTTTCCAGTGCGTCCTTGACAATGAAGCTGGACCTGAACTGAGGGTCGCCATTTCATCCGTTATCAGATCATCACTAGTATCTGTTAGAACAGAAACAGAAACATAGTGATCGTGTAATCAATATTAAATGTCAGAATTACACTTATAATAACCTCCTTCTTAACACAATATACTAGTTATGCTTTTCAATTATTGAAAACTTTATTGAGATGAAGTAAAGTTAAAATATGAGAAAGAATCATTTAGATAAGTAAGTTAAGAAAATGAATGAATTATCAGTAAAAACATCAAAATCAGTAAAAATGTTAAGTTTAAGAAATAAATGAAGAATTAGTGAAAGTATTCACTTTAGGAAATGAATGCGAACAAATGAGAGAATCAAATGATGGTTCAGTTGGACTATTATATTACGTTTAAGAAATAAATGTAAACTAAGTGAGAATATCAAATGTATGAGTATTAAGTTAAGGAAATTAATGAAGAATTAGTACGAGTATAAAATATTGGAAAGAAATTGATTAAGTGTAGAAAATAAATGAAGAATTAGTTAGAGAATCAAATTTAGGAAGTATATGAAAAATCAGTGAGAGTATAATATTAAAGAAATTAATCAAGAATTAGCGAGATAGAAACAAAATTAGGAAATATATGAACAATAAATGAGAGTAATCAATTGATAAAATTGATAAAGAATTAGTGAGAGTATTAAATTTAGGAAATAAATGAAGAATCGATGTAAATAAATAAATTTAGTTTCGAAAATGAATAAAAAAATAGTGAAAGAATCAAATTAAAGAAATAAAGAAGGAATCAGTGAGAGTATTAAATGTAGGGAATAAATTTATGAATTACTAAGTTTATTAAATGTTAGAAATAAATATATAATTAGTCAATGTATTAAATGTAAATAAAAAAGAATTAAGAATAAGTGAGAGTATCAAATTTAGGAAATAAATGAAGATCAGCGAGAGTATTCAGTTTAGGAAATGAATGAAGAATTAGTGCGAGTATCAAGGACAAATGTAAACACGAACGTGTTTGTTTAACACAAATGTCCCCGGCTCAGATCCTTGTCAGTTACAATATTTCAAAAACTATTTACCCATTTACTGAGTCAAGGAGGGAAAATAGTAAAAAATGTAAACACAGTTATGTAACTTGACAGAGTCATGGCGTTTGTTTTGTACATGTGAAACATATTAGTTGGCAAGTTATTGCTATGACATATGATGAAGTTGAAAAATATCAACTCTATCAATATATATATATATATATATATATATATATATATATATATATATATATATATATATATATATATATATAATATAATATATATATACATGTAAATGCAGAACGGTATCTTGAACCCAGCGACCCCAAACTCCATTTGAACTTAAAGGACCACCTTCGGTACTTGTTTCTTGTAAGCATGAAACATAATGATAAAAAAAACACAAACAACAAAAGCTGTTAAAAAAGTGTAAAAAAAACTTTTTTTAACGCTTGGGACCTTGACCTAAATGACCCCTAACTCAATCTAAGGATGCAAGTTATCATCCTTTCAAATATGAAAATTTGTCAAAAATAAAGGTTGTTTTTAGCAAATGTGTAGAAATGTATAATTAGCCTTTTTGACCTTGACCCACTGACCACTAATTTTATTGAAAAGGAAAATATACAAGTTATCTGTCAACCAAACATGACAGACATCTGTCCATAAATAAAGTCGCTATCTATTTGTAGCACTGGTGACCTTTAGCCAACTGACCATTAATACAATCCAAAGGAAGAAGACCATGCAAGTTATCATCCTACCAAATATAATAAAAACATGAGTACAAAAATGAAGGCTGTATAAGCAAATGTGTAGAAATTTGAAATCCTTCACATGACCTACCGACCCTTATCTTAATTAAAAAGAAGAGTATCATGTAAATTATCTACCTACCAAATATGAAATATATCTGTCAATGCATAAAGGTTGTATGGTCAAAAGTGTAAAAATTTATTTTTAACACTGGTGACATTGACCCAACTGACTCTAACTCCATCCAAAGAAAGAATACCATGCAAGTTATCTTTCTACTAAATATGAAAAGCTACAAAAGTGTAAAATATGTAAGCTTAATGTTTAAATCAAAATAAAACTACTACATGTACTTACAATGCCAGTAATTGGTAAGCTCATTAGATTGTAACACGTGCCATCCGGCTCTGCATTTACAAACAACATCTGTACCTTTTAAAAGTCGTTCTTCCGAAAACATGTTTTCATTTGAATTGTGCTGAGAAGACTGACATTTGAAGAACACCTTCAGATGATCCGAAAGGTGCAAGCCGTTGGCGAGAATGTCTAAGACAAAAGCATAAACTTGAGAACATAAACGATTGGATGGCTCTTCCTTCTTGGAGCTAAATTTTGTAATCCAAATCTGAATGACGTGATCGAAAAAATACAAATGAATGGTATGATTTCCTTCGAGATCTAAAACTGCATATCCACAGAAAATTAAATGTTTCGCATCCGATTCTGGCAGTGCAAATCTGTTGATACAAGCTGCTAGGAGCTTGTTGAAGACAGCTGTGGGTAGAAATCGCAATTCGGTTGTCAAACACAGTTTACTGGTGGATCTACTGTCCGTGCTCTCTTTTTGAATTAACAAATCATCTGGCGGTGGTGTTTTCAGGACACACGGAGCAAAGTAGTAATCTGTTTCCTATGATATTCAACAAACAATATTGATAAATTGATAACGTGTATAGAATATTTACATATAACAGTTATCAATATAGTTATTTTATGATTTCCTGTCTGTATCTGTATCTTTACTACTTATAACTTTATCTTATTGTAATTATGATTATTGTCAACAATTAAGAAAATAACAAATTGTGTTTGTAATACAATAATCTTTAAGAAATACAACTTGAAAAACATCAAGCTATGTTCATAGAGGGAGTGTTAAGCAGGTGCGAATGGTTCCTGCCCGCCGGATCTGTAATCTTGACATACGCACTTTTGTTGTTATTATACATGTAAGAGTTCTCTATCTGTAAGTATTACCTCAGACCCTAAAGGAAATCCCCCAACCCCCTAAAATACAACCCCCAACGAAAACAAACATTTATCAGCAATGATATGAACTATTATATATTAATTATCATAAGCCATCAAATAAACCTGATTGCAACTTGCCAAATGTTTGCATAAAGTACCAGGTAAATCAGTTACAAGACACAATTTTATCTTCCAGGCTTATGCATGCACAAAACATGTGTTTTATTCTTAAGCAAATCAATGAATTTAATCTTACATTAGTTACATGTGGAAACTGGTGTGGTTTAGCGATGATTCCAAGTTTCTCCATATAATCAAGTAGAATGTCTCTGTGTTCATAAAAGACACTATACTCTTTTTGCTTCCAAATTGCATCTATAAACAAATAAATTCAAAATTTTTCATCTACTGTTAGAACATTAATGAAGTATTTGGGTCTTGATAAAGTCACACGGAAATGTCGGTTATAATTTCTGTAATAAAGTATCCTTCAAACAAATATACTTTAAGTTTACATGCAGGTATTTTTTCCAAGCCACTAAACGATTTCTTGCGTTAGTGGCCAAAACCAAAGGCATTAAACTCTATTTTGCGGCGACAAATGCAATTTTAAAAAAACCTAAAAATTTCGCAATTTTAAATTTTTCCGCATCAAGCAGACTGTTTTGTTAACATTATTCACACGAAAAATACGTAAATTTTGCGAAAATAATGCTTAAGTCAATGCTAAGATTGTATGACTTGGTAGCTTAACTCAAAACAAGCAACCCCAATTATGAGAAGCCTTTTATTCAAACCCGAGTTTTAACTAGGCAAATTTTTTATTTTGGTACCCTGTAAAAACCTGTTTTTCCCCTTTTATATCTTTTTGCCTATAAGATTCACTATTCTGAGTTAATATTGTTAAGCCTTATATAAACTCTTTCTATCTGTTTCTGAAAAATATATGCTATAAATAAATGCTACAAACATAAAACATTTCGACGAAAAGTTTTTTTACATCACAAATACTTGAACATTACACCCCACCAAAAAGCTCGAGTAAATTTTTGGGCCCGGTCCCCTTTAAAACATTTTCCCAAATTTTCGAAAAATTTTTCGGCTTTTGCAGCAGAACATTCTGGCGGTTATAATGCTTTTGAAGGCGTCTATCAACCACTGGGGGTCAAGGACAATTGTATCACCTAAGTTATCATCGCTGAAATATTCAAAGTTTAGCTTTGAGGTTTTTCAACAAAAAACTTTTTTTGCAAAAATCATCAGAAATGTTTAAAAAATTAAGCAAATAAACACTTGAATCAAATGGTTTATTATTTTCACATTATAAACATTCAAATTTCACAAGGGAATACAAATGTTTGTTTTAATCTAAACTTACCCATGGGCGAGACATCAAAATAAAAAAAACCAAAGTATATCAACATTTATGGACAATAAAAAACAGCGCAAATTGATCATGCACAAACCTAAATATTTTTGAGAATATCAATTAAAATAAAAAAAGTTAATGTGAAATGATATATTTGGAAATGTAAAACATCGCCTTTTTTATAAATCACTAAGAATAGCAATTAAATGTTGTTGCCTTATTTTACAGTGCCTTTTAAGTTTTAAAGTTAATAAAATAAATGATCTATGTCCCTTACTTGTTAATTCTAATTGGATTATCCACCCTTATAATAATATTCAATTATAAAGTAAAGATAGAACATAAAAATTAAGATAAATCAACACATTGCTATAGCTTCAAGGTAAAACACAAATACCAGCAAAGTCTTAGAATCAATTAATTAAAGTGACAATATCCCCATCCAAATGTAAATGGTGAGTGCACAGGTAAAAGTCCATAAAATACATCTTGCAATGAATTACTAATTCACCTCAACTTGACATTGAAAAAATGAGTAAAATGTCACTGAATGTCACTCAGTACATTCCCATAATTATTCAGCTTTATATCCAGAAAATATCAAAACACGAGCTTCTTAAACTTTCTAAGTGATTTAGTTAAAAAAGTAAATGGTGTAAGAAACTTTTCCTCTGAGGTGACAACTTTTATAAGTCATGGAAAAGATCTGCAGAGTTTGCAAAGTCATACTATACCTGTAATATAGAATATTTCCAGATTCATGATGAAACCTTAAAAATAATTTCAGTACTTCATCTGTTTCTATAGGAACAGGCAATGTGTTGTTCAGACGCCGCAACATGTCTATATGTAGAACCTACAATTAATATAGAAATGATTGTTTTCTATTACAAGAATAAGACATTGCAAGAATAACTACCCTAAAGAAAGAAAAGAAATATTTCTGTAATCGCTATCATTTTTCATCTGATGATATTTGACACACACGACACATACCATTCCAAATATGTTTTCCGTTGGCTTTCGGTGCTTTGAACTGTGAGAATTTGCACGTTTTCATTATCCGTCATATACAGACTCAAACAAATTGAGTCTGCAATTTTCATATAATTTTGTCGTGATGAATGCTTACGAGTCATCACACGATCTCATTGCGTGCAAAATATGAAAAACTGATATTAGTAGTCCGGGCACAATTTAACACTAGGTCAAAACACCCTTCAAGGTGCATAGACTCAAGTAATTCGAACCCATTTAGTCGACTCTGACGATCACGCAGGGATAAACGGTGGCTGCTTTTCTGACACCGCAACCCTTTAAGGCAACCCCTCATCCTTCTATCTGATACAAATATAATGAGACAAATATTAATTATTCCACCCATTTGTTCAACTTTTAATTGGATAGAAAGAGCATTCATTGTAACAGACATTGCAAGAATGAATTACATTTCTACATTTGCTTTTTCTTACTGAAATTGTATAAAATGTATTCTTACCTTTGAACCCTCATTTTTCAGAATGGCAATGCTGTTTTCCAATGTTATCCATTTTGCTGGAATAATCTCTCCCCAATATGATTGTGCCTTCGCGGATTCGACAATTTTTTTTTTTAGTAAATCAATGCTGCCGTTTTTGATAGTATTATCAACTGGAAAGTCTTCCTCTATCAGATGACTTATGGATTCCTTGTGAAAAAGCGATCTCAATTCATAGAAATAATTGTTTATAATTGCCATTTGCTTTGTTTTCTCTGGAAAAAGCTATAATTAAAAATATACACTTCAGTACACATAATACATTAAAAGTTGTAAATAACAAAAGATATTCAATCTTTGTAAGAATGTTTGTTTTGGAAGATAAGAAACAATTTGAACAAGAGCCATGTCAACATGGCCATCCACCGCCGAATGTGTTTGCTCATAGGAAGAATATATATGTAGTAGAGCAGAATAATTCAATTTTAAGAGGTCTTTTGGTAATGAAAACTGATGACTTAAGTGATTACAGATGTGAATAATGATGGCTGAAAATAACAAAGGGTAATAACTGAAAAATAATTCAGGGTAGGTTATCATTCTTGTATGCTGCACTCCTCCTCCACTCCTCTAAGTTGATACCTCCAACACTTTTGAGATAAGCTCCGGACAAAAAGTATTAACAAGAGGGCCATGATGGCCCTGAGGTCGCTCACCTGTATATAGGCCCAACCAACCCCCACCCCCCAACGTTGCAGGGCCAATTTTAACCCAAAGGCTTTTATTTGCACAAACTTGGTAGACACCCATAAGAAGATGTTTCATGCTAAACATCTAAGCTCTAGCTCATTGGGCTTTTTAAAAGAAGATTTTTTTTAAGTTTTTACTATACACATATAGTTAAAAACAATGACACCCCTGGGGCGGGGCCAGTTTTGACCCCAGGGCTTTTATTTGAACAAACTTTGTAGACACTTACTAGAAGATGTTTCATGCTTAATATCTAAACTCTAGCTATTTGGGTTTTTTCAAAGAAGATTTTAAGTTTTTGCTATACACATATAAAGAAAATCAATGACCCCCCGGGGCGGGGCCAATTTTGACCCCAGGTCTTTTATTTGAACAAACTTTGTAGACACTCACTAAAAGATGTTTCATGCTTAATATCTTAACTCTAGCTATTTGGGTTTTTTCAAAAAAGATTTTTTAAGTTTTTGCTATACACATATAAGGAAAATCAATGACCCCCGGGGCGGTGCCAATTTTGACCCCAGGGCTTTTATTTGAGCAAACTTGGTAGACACCTATTAGAAAATGTTTGATGCTGAATATCTTAGCCATAGCTCTTTGAGTTCTTTAAAAGAAGATTTTTTAAGTTTTTACTATATGCATATAGGGAAAATCAATGACCCCCCCGGGGCGGGGCCAATTTTGACCCCAGGGCTTTTATTTGAACAAACTTGGTAGACACTTATTAGAACATGTTTCATGCTAAATATCTTAGCTCTAGCTTTTTTGGTTCTTTAAAAGAAGATTTTTTAAGTTTTTACTATATGCATATAGGGAAAATCAATGACCCCCAGGGGCGGGGCCAATTTTGACCCCAGGGTTTTTATTTGAACGAACTTGGTAGACACCTATTAGAAAATGTTTGATGCTCAATATCTTAGCCATAGCTCTTTGAGTTCTTTAAAAGAAGATTTTTTAAGTTTTTACTATATGCATATAGGGAAAATCAATGACCCCCGGGGCGGGGCCAATTTTGACCCCAGGGCTTTTTTTTAACAAACTTGGTAGACACCCATTAGAACATGTTTCATGCTAAATATCTTAGCTCTAGTTCTTTGGGTTCTTTAAAAGAAGATTTTTTAAGTTTTTACTATATGCATATAGGGAAAATCAATGACCGGCCAATTTTGACCCCAGGGCTTTTATTTGAACAAACTTGGTAGACACTCACTAGAAGATGTTTCATGCCAAATATCTAAGCTCTAGCTCTTATGGTTTTTTAAAAGAAGATATTTAAAGTTTTTTCTTTCGGTTGCCATGGCAACCAGAGTTCTGCATGGAATTAAATTCTTTGAACAATTTTTAAAGGTGACCACCAAAGGAACATTCCTGTGAAGTTTGGATGAAATTGGCTTAGTGGTTTATGAGGAGATGTCATTTAAAGTAAAAGTTTACTGACGGACGACGGACGGACGGACGGACGCCGGACGAAAAGCGATCACAAAAGCTCACCCTGTCACTTTGTGACAGGTGAGCTAAAAATAACAAAGTGCAATAACTCAAAAATTATAAAGGGAAGAGTTATCATTCTTGCGCATAGCATTCCTCCTCAATTAGATAAATTCACAATTACGTTTTATGTTGACATCTCAAACACGTTTCGAGTTATGCTCCACTCAGGTGAAAAATTAAGTATGAAAAATAACAAAGAGCAATAACTAAAAATTAATGAAGAGTAGAGTTATCATTCTTGTACACTGCAAACCAACTGAGTGAGATCTATCCACCTATAACTTTACATGTTGATATCTCAAAGGCTTTTTGAGTTATGATCTGTACAAAAATTAAGGTTGAAAAATAACAAAGGGCAATGACTCAAGAATAATGCAGGATAGAGTTATCATTCTTGTGCACTGCACTCCTCCTCAATGAGATCTTTCCACCTCTTTGAGATATGCTCTGGACAAAAATTTCGGACGGAAGGACAGACGGACGGACGAATACTATTTCTATATCCACGCCTTCTTTCGGCGGGCGATAAAAATGATAAACGTTCTTGTCATGGCGGTACTAGATCACTCACATGAGAGCCAATGCTCACAATGGTCACACTTGTTTAATGCATAAGAGGGTAATTAGAGGGCAATTAGAAGTGCAATTTTTAACCTTATGATTTTCTTGTAAAATTCCGCAAGGAACTGTTACATACCAAATAAACTCTGATCATTGTAATTTTCCAAAAGATTTATATGTGTATCCTATAGTAAACGAGTATTTTTTAAAACTATATTATCCCTCTTGGAGCCAATTTTGAGACTACATTCAAAATATCCAGCTGTAGACAGTGCAGTTTAAGCCACAAAGTATTAATTATACAAGAAGTATACGTTAACTAATGGACACTCAGGGTTGGGTCAAATGTGACCCATAGAGCATGAATAATATGATTTGATGGAGTTCTAATAAGCAATGTTTCGTTCATTAAAATTCCAAACTGGTGAAAAAAGCTTATGAACACAACTAAAACCGATATTTCTTAAATATCATTAAAACATATGGTTTCATAACCTCAGATCCCCTTTCAAAATTCCATTTTATTTAGTTCCGCCCATTGTTTTCTCGTTTAGGGCACAAGCATTCTTTTACGTGGGGACCATGCGCCGCTTTTCATGGAATGGCACTACTGTGTCACATTGAAGGTTCCATGATAATCGCCGTATGAACACATCTGCGGATGTTTCTAAATTCAAAATTTCACCATTTTCGTGTTAAATGTTGAATTCTGCTTAAGCCGGTACTATGGGGCGTGGACGGTACCTTGCAATTTCCAGTACCGTCCATGAACAGGCTCAATCAAACCGAGCCTGCAACATTTTCAATTGTGTTGTGTTGGACTTTCTTTAGGGATTCTGTTTTTCTCTATTTTAATTAATAAAATGTCACGTCACTCGTTTTTATCTTATCTGTAAACATTCCAACCAGCAGGACCGATGGCCTTAGAACGCTCACCTGAGATCCAATGCTAAAAAATGCTAAAAATGACCACACTTGTTCAGTTCATATCCTTTCGACGGCCATAGCGTAATAAAACGTACCAAAAATCGACTTCTCAAAAGCCTGGCGCTATAGTCATAAGAAGGCTATAACGTAATAAACCGGTATAAAAGTTTGGCTTCCTGAAAGCCACTACTGTTTTGTCGTAGGAAGTCCACCAAAATTTAGTTTTAAATGACTAAATTCTTAAAGTTTACCTTTCATTTATTTCATTCTGTTAAATGTTGTTCAAATAAAAACACCAAATATGTTAATTGTATAGTGCCCTTTATTGACAGAGAGAGTAAATGTTTAGATATACAGTACACTTTTTAATTAATGTGGTAATCAAATCGATATCAAAATTAATTGAAGAAAATCTTCTAAATGGTATAGTATTTTAAAATGCATTTATTGATACATCAAACGGAGTTTCTGTAAGCAGTTCTCTTATTTGAAACAAAAATGAGTTGAACTTACAAAATTCACGTTGAAACGCATAATATCAATCACCCTTCCTGAGAAAAATTGATTTTCATTGATTTTCAATAATTACGTTTTAAAACGTTGTGGACGTTGTACTCAATAGGGTATTCTAATGGGCTATATCTGTAAATAACGTAAAATTTACCGTTTTAAAACGTTCAGAACTTGTTTTAAAAAACAAGGATTGTGAGTCTGTTTAATGCAGTTGAACGTAATATTAACAGTGTTATACGGTATGGCTTTGTTGTTTATCGTATGCAGTTGAACAGCCATAGCGTAATATTTTGATTTTTCATAAACACATTAAAAAACCAGAATGTACGAGGTTTTTACGGGTTTGCATGACACAAACTCAAGTTTTACGCTGATTTACGCTACGGTTTCTAGAAAGGTATATTTTTAGATACGTTTTACTACGCTATGGACGTCAGGTCGTAAAATAAGACTGGCTTTCAGAAATGTAAAAATTCGATACGTTTTCTTACGCTTTGGCCGTCCTACGGGTATAGCGGATGGCCGTCGAAAGGATATGAGAGTCATTAGTTAACATTGGTGTCAAATAGTTGATAAACACCACTGGGACTGATATTATTTTCAAAAATATTATTAAACAAATGAATGCCACGTTACTTGTTTTATCTTATCTGCACGCGTTCCAACCAGCAGGACAGGCGGGCCTGACTCATCCGATGAACCGCAAAACTCGTGGATTGAATTTAACCAGAAATTAGCAAATTCTGAAAGTTATCATAACCAAAATAAAAACGATAATATAATAGCACCGCTAGGCAAAGCATTATATGCCCAAAAGTGTGTTTTTAGTAAAGATGAAGCATTTGTAAGACATGCGAATTAAATGAAGTATAACCTCCTTCAAACAAAAATCCTACTATGAAGTTTGAATATTGTGTGCCAATTGAACTTAAGTTATGCTCCGGAAACTGTTTTCTGTTTTAAGGTAATATTGACCTTGACATTTGACCTTGTTACCCCAAAATCAATATGAGTCTTCTACCTAATATGGACACTCATCCATTGAAGATTAAATATTGTGGGCTAGATGGAACTTAAGTTATGCCCCGGAAACTGTTTTCAGTTTTAAAGTAATAATGACCTTTGACCTTGTGACCCCAAAATCAATAGGGATCTTCTACCCAATATGGCCAATCATCCTATGAAGTTTGAAAATTGTGGGCCAAATGGAACCTAAATTATGTTCCGGGAAATGTTTTCAGTTTTAAGGTAATAAGGTGACCTTTGACCTTGTGACCCCAAAATCAATAAAGGTCTTCTACCTAATATGGATAATCATCCTATGAAGTTTGAACACTGTGGGCCAAATGGAACTTTGGTAATGCCCTGGAAACCTTTTTAATTTAAAAGTAATAGTGACCTTGATCGTTGACCTTGTGACCCCAAAATCATAATAGTTCTTTTTCACAATATGGACAATCATCCTATGAAGTTTGAACACTGTAGGCCAAACGGAACTTAAGTTATGCTCCGGAAACTGTTTTCAGTTTTAAAAAGAATAGTGACCTTGACCTTTGACCTTGTGACCCCAAAATCAATAGGGGTCTTCTACCCGATATGGACAATCATCCTTTTAAGTTTGAATATTGTCGGCCAATTGGAACTTAAGTTATGCTCCGGAAACCAAATTGCTAACAGACAGACGGACAAACGGACGGACAGACGCCAGGAGGTATAACATTACATGCCCGAAATTCTGTCGGGCATAAAAAAGTGCAGTGGTCAATAATGTAGGGTCGGTAATACAATGCACAATTAGGTTGATAGTAATTATCAAGTATTTGACAAAACAACGGACCACAAAATAATAAAACATGAAAGTTGTTGGCAAATGTGAAATACATGATTCTTTATAACATTTAAATATTTATAAAGCAGAAAAAATGTCCTAGAACATAATAATAATATTTATCAGATAAATGGTCATTCTAAATCACTGAGATCTTTATCAACATTTATATCAAGCAACGTTTTATAACAATATCTATTGGAAAATGTGTCAATTGTAAATTTATTCACTTTGAAACGGAATAACAAAAACTAGAACTATCACTAAATGTGATTAATACCCCCACAAGTCTGCTTCGGAAATGAGGATGTTACTAGTAACAGAATACCTTGTAAAAGAATTGAAACATAGAGTTATGGTTGTGGGCAATTAAAGATAATTGTGGTTCATGTATGTTGCATTTCCTTTCAATGTGGTTGGCCATTGATGAAGTTTAATTGAATTACTCTGTAATAAGTCCAGTAAGACAAAGAAAAAGAACAAAGGGCAATAACTCTATAAATACTGAAGATAGAGCTATAGTTCTTGTGCACTGCACTTCCTCTTATTGTGCTTGACCATTGTATGAAGTTGTTTTGAATTCCAACCAGTACGTTTTAAGTTATGCTCCGGACAAGGAAAAGTACCAAAGGGCAGTAACTCTGTATTTTGTCAAAATGGAGTTATGGCTCTTGTGCACTGCACTTCCTTTGAATGTCCTTGACAACTGTATGAAGTTGTACTGAATTCCAAACAGTAGTTTTCAAGTTAAGCTCTAGACAAGGAAAAGTAACAAAGGGCAATAACTCTGTAATTAGTCAAGATGGAGTTATGGTTCTTGTGCACTGCACTTTCCCTTATTGTGCTTGACCATTGTATGAAGTTGTTTTGAATTCCAACCAGTAGTTTTCAAGTCATGCTCTGGACAAGGAAAAGTAACAAAGGGCAGTAACTCTGTAATTAGTCAAGATGGAGTTATGGTTCCTATGCACTGCACTTCCTCTCAATGTGCTTGACCATTGTATGAAGTTATAATGAATTCCAACAATAAGTCTTCAAGTTATGCTCCGGACAAAAGAAAGCAATGGAAAGGCAAAGGGCAATAACTCTGTAATTAGTCAAGATGGAGTTATGGTTCTTGTGCACTGCACTTCCCCTTATTGTGCTTGACCATTGTATGAAGTTGTTTTGAATTCCAACCAGTAGTTTTAAAGTCATGCTCTGGACAAGGAAAAGAAACAAAGGGCAGTAACTCTGTAATAAGTCAAAATGGAGTTATGGTTCTTGTGCACTGCACTTCCTCTCAATGCGCTGGACCATTGTATAAAGTTATAATGAATTCCAACAATTAGTCTTCAAGTTATGGTCCGGACAAAATAAAGCAATGGAAAAGTAATAAAGGGCAACAACTCTGTAATTACTTTAGATAGAGTTATGGTTCTTATGCACTGCACTTCCTCTCAATGTGCTTGACCATTGTATGTAATTATATTAATTCCAACTATTAGTCTTCAAGTTATGCTCCGGACAAAAAAAGAAGGCAATTGAAAAGCAACAAAGGGCAATAACTCTGTAATTACTTTAGATAGAGTTATGGTTCTTGTGCACTGCACTTCCCCTTATTGTGTTTGACAATGGTATGAAGTTGTTTTGAATTCCAACCAGTAGTTTTCAAGTAATGCCCCGGACAAGGAAAAGTAACAAAGGGCAATAACTCTGTAATTAGTCAAGATAGAGTTATGGTTCTTGTGCACTGCACTTCCTCTCAATGTGCTTGACCATTGTATGTAGTTATATTGAATTCTAACCATTAGTCTTCAAGTTATGCTCCGGACAAGGAAAATGCAACGGACAAAAAAAAAACGCAATGGAAAAGCAACAAAGGGCAATAACTCTGTAATTACTTTAGATAGAGTTATGGTTCTTGTGCACTGCACTTTCCCTTATTGTGTTTGACAATTGTATGAAGTTGTTTTGAATTCCAACCAGTAGTTTTCAAGTAACGCCCCAGACAAGGAAAAGTAACAAAGGGCAATAACTCTGTAATTAGTCAAGATAGAGTTATGGTTCTTGTGCACTGCACTTCCTCTCAATGTGCTTGACCATTGTATGTAGTTATATTGAATTCAAACCATTAGTCTTCAAGTTATGCTCCGGACAAGGAAAATGCAACGGACCAAAAAAAACGCAATGGAAAAGCAACAAAGGGCAATAACTCTGTAATAACTTTAGATAGAGTTATGGTTCTTGTGCACTGCACTTCCTCTCAATGTGCTTGGCCATTGTATGTAGTTATATTGAATTCCAACAATTAGTTTTCAAGTTATGCTCCGGACAAGGAAAATGCAAAGGACGTCTGAACCGACCGACCGACCGACCGACCGACCGCCCGACCAACCAACCGACCGACCGACCGACCACCGGGTGTCTCCTATATACCCCCCCCCCAAACTTCGTTTTTGGGGGTATAATAAACTACACAAATAACTGATGTCAAGCATTTGGGGCCGAACGCTTATCTTAAGGAGCAACGGAAAAAAAATTTTGGGGTTGCTGGTTCGATCCTCTGGCGAAATCATAGATTAGATTTCAATCGCTTACGGAGACATTGTGAATTACTTGTTAAGTTATCTTAAGTTATATCAAGTAAATGGATATGCAATGCAGTTATGTCTGATTATCAGGATATAATTGATTAAAGTACTCCAAAGTTTTTGTTCCATATATCCTCATTACCGAGGTAAATTAAGATACTACCAAAGTCTAAACTGTTTGTTCTTTCTCAGTATATTTTAAATTACTGTATAATAAAGTGACATTATGCCCATCCAAAGGTATATAGTGAGTGAAGAGCTGAAGATCAAAATAAGCTAACATTTTGTTTAATTCCTTACAGTTATTATTTCCTTCACATGAACAGGACAATAATGGCATAAGAAAATTTCTATAAATATCCAACGAAAATGACCTATAACGTTCAATTTACAAGACAGTGGGGCAGCCTTTAAATATTTAATGCAGATTCATACTTTATCCTTAACATTTTTCAATTTCAATTGTTAATTAATCCCCATTGTAACAGGTAATCTTTTGAAAATATATAGTCAATTCAGCTCAACTTCACAATAAAAATAAAATGAGCATAACGTATTTTTATAAGACTTAAAGCAGAAAGAAATCAAAGCATTTGATACAAGCAAAATTGCTTTAAAACATGAAATAGTTTTTACAGTATTTTATTCTCCATATGGAGACTTATTTTATTACTTCATGTGAAAAATTCTAAGAAAACAAAATAGCATTTAATATTTGTTATTTCCGTTTGGTTTCTAATATTCTTACAAGTTTATACACCATACCCCAAAACCAAGCATTAAGTGATTTGACACATTCCAAATATTTTGTCTTCTCGCGTCCCTATATATATATATATATATATATATATATATATATATATATATATATATATATATATAGAAATGAGAGAATATATAGAATATATACACACATACCACCACATCGATATGCCAGTCCAATTACGGCACAGCGCCTAGCAGAACAGTCATGAAAGCATAGCCACTGCTCATCCACCATCACATAATGATGGTTTCAGAACAGCTTTATATACAGTCACAAACTGCACTACACATTGAAACAAGCTCAACATTCTCATATATAGAGTTTGTTCTCTGTAAACATATCTCACAAATCAACGATGACATTTTATTGTCTATATATACTTTATCTGTCTAAATTCATTGTATCCTACGGATCTACTTGATCTTACGTGATCCAGTTGACTTTCGGAAATAGATATATAGTTCTCTGGTCCCAATCAGTGAAGAAGACAATAAAATGTCATCGTTGATTTGTGAGATATGTTTACAGAGAACAAACTCTATATATGAGAATGTTGAGCTTGTTTCAATGTGTAGTGCAGTTTGTGACTGTATATAAAGCTGTTCTGAAACCATCATTATGTGATGGTGGATGAGCAGTGGCTATGCTTTCATGACTGTTCTGCTAGGCGCTGTGCCGTAATTGGACTGGCATATCGATGTGGTGGTATGTGTGTATATATTCTCTCATTTCTATTAATTTATCTGCACACTTGTATCTTAAGTGATCCCACGCAGGGGAAAGTATAACTGTATTGAATTTAATTATCTCCCTTTATATATATATATATATATATATATATATATATATATATATATATATATATATATATATATATATATATATATAATACTGCACGTTTGTAACGTCGCTTTTCATTGGATAATCGTGACGTTTATATAGTTTTATATACAGGGCTTCTGTCGATTCATGAAGAAGTCTTACTTTTTTCTCTAAAACATGATGCGTGCTGTATTATAAATTTGTTATAAAGATTGTTGACAGGATATATGACCGTATATAAACGGCTGTTTGCAATATAACCCTCGCCTAGCGGCTCGGGTTATATTTACAAACAGCCGTTTATATAGGGCCATATAACCTGTCAACGATCTTTATAACTAATAATATATAGTTTACTTCTGTGGCATACCTGATATTTTCCAATGTTTAACACCTATGCTATCCTGGAAACATTCATCATCTTTTACCATGTCCTCCATGCTTTTAGATACGTCTGTGACTAACAAATACACCGCTCTCCTTGACAAAAACACCTGATGAGTGGCATAGAATACAAACTGTCCCGCAAAATCCCAAATGGAGACATCCGCCATGTTTAAATTATCTGTGGACCCTGAATGCTGAACTTCTTCTATCAAGGCCTTGAAGATAGAAGACAGCAGTTAGAGAAAATGAAATTTAAAACTCCTTCAAAGAAAGTATTTGTTTAATCAAACAATTAATATCTATAACTTAAATAAAGTATAAACGATGATTAGAAAGAAAGAAAGAACTTTTGATACGATATGTAATAATCCTACAGCACATATATCAAACTGAATGGTTCTGATATTACAAATTAAGAATAAGTCAAACTCGAATTGTGAGATACCTCACAACTTTTTTACTGTGATGAAAATGGATAACGAAATATAAGATGTCAAGCAAAATATTCATTCATAACTGTTTAAATAAAGAGTAAATTTTAGAAATAAAGACAAATTCTGTACTGAATATTAATGACAATCCTTAATAACACACAATCAATTAATACCACACTATCCTACTTTTCATAATTTTTACTTCATTTAATGGGACTTTAAGAAAGAGATTTAATCAATGACGATTAAACAAGTTGACATCCTTCTTCATACTTTGGGGAAATCTGTGACAGATAAGTTAAGGTCGCTGACTTCTAACCACTTGTTCCTCACCGATGTTGGTTTGAAACCGCCAGGGACTTAACATTGTTTTATAAAAGAAAGCAACCCAGGTAGCTTACTTACTGTCGGGGTTCTATTAATGTGCACACTATGGCCTAAAATAATGGAATAAGGAGCACTTGAGGTATTCCTCCACAATAAAACTTGACTCTAAAAATGGTCTTACCTTCAAGTGATATAGTATATTTTCTTCCTTGGTGTCTTGAAGTGGTTGGAAATTCTCATTAGTGACGTTTTCTACTTCCAGCGGTGTCAAAGTTACTTTCATCTTTGGTTCTGGTTCTGTACACACAACTTCTGCACCTATATTTCACAGTATTAGTTTTATTTAAATTGATAAAATGTATGTTAATAACTGACAAGAGCCATGTTCACATGGCCATCCCCGCCGAATGTGTATATGTAGTAGAGCAGAATAATTCAAGTTTAAGAGGTGGTAATGAAAACTGATGGCTGAAGTGATTACAGATTTGAAACTTATGTGAATACTGATGGCTGAAAATAACAAAAAATAAACATGAAAAATAACAAAGGGCAATAACTGAAAAATAATGCAGGGTAGGTTATCATTCTTGTGTGCTGCACTCCTCAATGAGATCTATCCACCTATGAAGTTTCAAGATGATACCTCTAACACTTTTTGAGATAAGCTCCAGACAAAAGTAGAAAAAAATAACAAAGGGCAATAACTCAAAAATTATAAAGGGTAGAGTTATCATTCTCACTGCACATCTCCTGAGGTGGATCTATTAACCTACGAAGTTTCATGTTGATATCGCAAAGGCTTCGTGAGTTATGCTCTGGACAAAAATTAAGTTTAAAAAATAACAAAGGACAATAACTGAAAAAGTATGCAGGGTAGAGTCATCATTCTTGTGCATTGCACTCCTCCTCAACATGATCTATCCACCTATGAAGTTTCAAGTTGATACCTCAAATACTTTTTGAGATATGCTCCGGACAAAAGTTAGAAAAAAATAAAAATGGGCATTAACTCAAAAATTATAAAGGGTAGAGTTATCATTCTTACGCACAGCATTCCTCTTCAATAAGATCTTTCCACCTATGTAGTTTCATGTTGACATCTCAAAGACTTATTTAGTAATGCTCTACTCAAGTGAAAAATTATGTATGAAAGATAACAAAGGGCAAAAACTCAAAAATTATGTCAGGTAGAGTTATCTTTATTATGCACTGCACAACTGCTGAGTGAGATCTATCCACCTATGAAGTTTCATGTTGATATCTCAAAGCCTTTAGAGTTATGTTCTGGACAAAAATTAAGTTTGAAAAATAACAAAGGGCAATAACTGAAAAATTATGCAGGATAGAGTTATCATTCTTGCACACTGCACTCCTTAATATGATCTATCCATCTATGAAGTGTCAAGTTGATACCTCAAATACTTTTTGAGATATGCTCTGGACAAAAATGTCGGACTGACGGACGGATGGATGGATGGACGGACGGACGGAAGGACAGAGACTATTTCTATATCCTCCGCCGCCTTTCGGCGGGGGATAATAAATAATATTGTGCTTTAGGTCGTTGATTAGCCGTAAGATTAAGCTTTCTTTCTGAAAAAATTTTTTATACACCTAGATGTCACAATAGTACCCAATTTATGAATCGATATACAGAAATCGAACATTTGCCATGAAAAATGTTGTTCTGCATTTTGTTTCAACCATTTGAAAACCGTTTGGTTGTCTTGACAATGTTTAGCAATACTTGGTGACAATACGCTCCAAGTGTATTTTCAATCATTATATGATCATCATTACCTTCATTCTTTTCTGTAATATCTTGGCTGTTGCTCTCTATTGATGTATCTTCATCTACAACTTCAAACTCTTCATTAACAGCTCCTACTGTACTCTCATTTTCTATTACAACAACTTCCTTTTCCGTGGTAAGTGTTTTTTTTAACAAATTAAGCAGACGGTTACACACTGTGCCAACTTTCTGATCTACAAACAAAAAAAAAGTGATTTATTTCATTGCTTCCTTGCTTGGTATTAATTTTACATGTTGTGTTGGTACAAAATCGCACATCATTTTTTTCTGTAAAATGAAAACATCAACAACAAAATAACCAAGAATGCATATGTAAAAAATGTTATGCCACTGCATTAAATAAACAGAAGTAGATTTTTTTTTGTTACTAATAAAATTGAACTGCCATAATGCTGTAGTGTCTAGTGAATTTTGAAGTCAAGGTCATATTTCAGCATATCATATCATAAGACGCATGTGCAAATGTGTCTAATGTTAATATACAAAGGCCATAGTGCAATAATTGATTAACCTTTTCCCTCATATATACGTGTTTCGACGGCTTTTGTCCCCCCCCCCTTTTGAGGACTCAAACAGTGAAAAAATGCCCTATTTAGACCACAAACAGTGTTTTTCGTTTGAGAAATGTTGATGAAAAAAGTGACCACTTTTTCGGCGCCCCCCTGTCCAAATTATTACATCATGGGGTTGCCAGAAGGGGGATGTGCCCCCTTCTGTTTGGGGGGGGGGGGTTGAAGGGGGCGGTAGTCCCCTCATCGCCAAGAAACTTTTGGACATGTGACAGGCTAAAAATTACCTTAGGTCGATCTTAGGGTAACTAGTAACCGACGCTGAAAAGCTTTTTACTCTATCTCCATTCATTGAGAAGTTGTAGCACTTTGAAATCAGTTTTGATGGAAAAAACAATGCAAAATAGTGATTTTTGGAAAATTTGAGACGTCCCCTTGTTACATTGTTAACTTGCGATTGAGCATACTGTTACAGAGGCTATGGTCTAGTCAACATTTGTGCCAAGTTTTATCAGCATTTAAGCATTTTTCATAGTTTCATAGCAGTTTGAACTTGTTACAGGAGGCTTTTTAATGAAAACGGCCATTTTTTCGCAATATTCTCATGGGGTAAAAGGTTAAAAGATGAAAGAAGCTTTAATGACAAAATAGGTATTAACTGTATAATATAACTGTATTAAACTTTGAAATGCAGGTACAGTAACTTTTTTCTAAATACCATCTTTTCAATAAACCATTACCAATTTCTACAAACATAATCATTATTATATCCATAGTGTGAATTATAATGTCCTTATAATGTGCTCAAATATCTCTACAAAGCTTACAACTGTCTTGCTAGATTTCATGATATGAATCATTTTATAAACATCTCTAAAAATTATGACCTATAGACTGACTCCAAGCTATTGAATCTTTTACATAAAAATTCAATGATATGTATCAGGCATTCCATTGAAAGTAACGTTTCATTTCATAAAATAATTTTTTTTAAAGTTTTTACTATATGTACGAACATTGTGAAAATCAAAGACCCCGGCGCTGGGCCAATTTTGAGCCCAGGGCTATAATTTGAACAATCTTGGTAGAGGTTCACTATACAATGTTTCATGCCAAATATCTTACCGAGAAGAAATTTTTTTAAACTTTTATTATATACACATAAGGAAAACCTATGACCCCCAGGGCCAATTTTGACACTCAGGGCAAAATCAGATCAACTTTGGAAGAAGACTTATATATAATATTATCTACCAAATATCAATGCTTTGAGCCTTATACCTTCAGACAAAAAGATTTTTTAAGGTTTTTCTATATGCTCATAGTGAAAATTAATGACCTCGTGACAGGGCCAATTTTGATTCCAGGGCTATAATTTGAACAATCTTGGTATAAGTCTACCAGACAATGTCTTAAGCAAAATATCTAAGCTCTAGGCCGTGTGAATCTTTACAAAAAAGATTTTTTTAAGTTTATTCTTACAACCAGATTTCTGCATGGAATCGAATTCTTTGAACAACTTTAGAAGCCCTTCACCCAAAAAACATTCCTGCCACGTTTGGTTGAAATTGGGCTAGTCGTTTTTCACAAGATGATTTTTTAAGTTCACTATATAATCTATACAGCACACGCACACACGCACGCGCACGATGATGTGTAAGCTGCCGGATAGCTCAGTTGGTAGAGCCACGGTACGGTATTCCGAGGGTCCCGGGTTCGAGCCCAGGTCAGGCTGCACATTTTTCTCACCCTGTGACAGTTTATCAAAGTGCGCATGCGTGAGGTGGTTTATCCGGGAAGTTTGTAAAAACTGAGACCCGGCATGCAAATTATGTCAAATGAAATATAAGTAATTACGAGTTGTTGTTATAATGAAAAGATGATGAAAGGGAATGATATTGGAATGATATGGGATAATGGATAGTATATCAGACTGTAGAGAAACATAGATAACACGAGATATATTTACAAATACAAGGACAAACGATATTCGTAACAAATAACAAAACACAAATATCGACCACATGACATATAGCTAATGAACAAATCTACAAACCATTCATTCAGATATTTTCAAGTGCAGGTTGGTATATTCACCTTTGGCTACTGTTTCCCATTGTCCAGTTTCCAGGGACACTTTACATCTTTTTACGTGAACATCAATACCATTTGTGCTCTCTCGCTTGTTAATATCAACATCTTCATCTAACAGACGCTTTGTTAGCGTTGTCTTGCCAACACCGTAATGGCCGACAACCATTACTCGAATATTGTAAACAGCTTCTTTGCCCTCACTTAATGCTCGTTTGTATAATTCTATTGAATGCTTATCCATTCTAAGGATTTCTAGAGGGATCAAACTGCTGTGTCCAGTGGCTTGAAAAATAAATATACAATGGATAAGTAATCTTTCATAATCCAGTGTCACGTGACATTTGTTTCAGTACAACTCGTTCTATATTGCTTCTGTTTCGTTCCGCAAAATATAAATGCCCCCGGGATAATGATATTAAGCGGAACAATTATTTTTGTTTTTAATGATCCATTTTCTCTTTTAAAATGCTTGTTAAAATGTTATAACTAGAAATGTATCCATAGGACACATGTGCCCCCATTCAACTGTTTTGTAAATTTTATGACTCTAGTTCAAATTGTTTTGGGTTAATGTGAAAACTCAAAATCTTTTACTAAGTAAAGGGCAAGAACTTTACAAATACTGAATAAATCCACAAGCAAACCCCAAGATAATAAGTACACATGCTGACCAACATTCCTGTAAACTTTCAGGCCTACAGGTCAAATACTTTTTGAGCTATGCATGAACAAATTGAAAATTGCAAATATATACTAAGTTAAGGGCAATATTTTAAAATTCACATGCAAAATCCCAGGTGCATAGCTTCACAGTATTGATCAAATTTGATTGATTGTAACTGTCGCACTCAAGGAACAAATAACACAACATAATGGAACGGTTTTTACCTACTAAGTCAAGGGCAATAACTCTACAAATACTGGATAAATCCACAAGTAAAATCCAAGGTGCACAACTACATTATACCGACCACCATTCCTGTTAAGTTTCATGACTTTAGGTAAAATACATTTTGAGCTGCGCAAGACACAAATTGAAAATTGCATATTTTCACTTAGTCAAGGGCAATAACTCTGACAAAACATATAAATTCACAATCGAAACACCAGATACACCACTTCACATGCTTGTCAACATTCCTGTAAAGTTTCATGACCCTATGTCAAATTCTTTTTGAGCTACATGTGAAACAAGTTGAAAATTGAAAATTTTTACTAAGTCAATTACAATAACTCTACAAATACTAAATAAATTTAAACGAAAATACCCAGTTGCACAACTACACATGCGTATCAAAATTCCTGTAAAGATTCATAACTGTAGGTCAAATACTTTTTGAGCTACGTGCGACACAAGTTGAAAATCGCAAATTTTTATTAAATCAAGGGCAAAACTGTGACAAAACAGAATTAATCCATAAGCAAAACCCCAGGTGCACAACTTCACATGCTGATCAACATTCCTGAAAAGTTTCATGACTCTATGTCAAATACATTTTTAGCTACGTGCAACACAATATGAGAACGGACGGAAGGACGGACAGACGGACGGACAGACGGTGCGATTATATTATGTCTCCCTTCGGTTCCTAAAAATGAATGGCAGACTATTGTCCCCATAACAATAAGTTGCACATAGATGCATGAACCAAGAATATTTTAAGAATTTATGTGCAATCATGTAGAATCTATTAAGACTGTTAAAAGTGTAAATCTTGCAGTATATATGATCATAAATTTATCATATGAAAAACACATGAAAGGTCACATATATTTAACATATGAAAACTTATTTATATGAAAAACATGCGATAACCATGAGTTTAACACATGTTTGTTGACACATGTTTTTCATATGGTTCTGTTTAACATAATTATGTTAATCTTACATATGAAAAACATATGTTCTTAAACACATGTTTTTCAAAACATATGAAACACATATGTTTTACATATGGAAAACATATGGTGAACCAAACATACAACAAACATGTGGTTCATTTTTACCTGTCTAACAGCTGTTGACTGGGCAATGTTTTAAATGAAAACTAGTAAGGACATGCCTTTTGAAATTTTGTTTAAAAATACATCAGTATCATAATACATGCACATGGAACCAAACAGTCATGAAACAAAGCAACTGATTATAATATTTTGACCCAAAGAGCACCCTTAGGGGCACCAAATTCAATTTTGACATATTATTAAGGGTGGTGGTTGCATTAAAAATGAAGAGGGGTATTTATTCAATTTTTGATACAATCCGAAGGTAAATACAAAAATTAATGTTTTCTGTAAGTGTAACTTGAGAACAATACGATATAACTAGATTAAACTTGAACGTTAGTGTCAAATTGTCAATCAAAAACCAATGTGTAGTGTTAAAAAGCAATTATTTGAAAATGTCTACAAAATGATCGAACCTTTATATACAACAAATGCACATGTGCTTTCATGAAGAAAAAAAGAATAGTTTATTCAATGAATTTGATTGACATTAATTAACTAGATCAAAAACGGCAAAATGTTCATTATAAATGGTACCATTTTTGTGTGTATTTTTCACATGTTATAAAAATTGCAGTCACTGTAGACATCTGAAGATTATAAAGGAAGTTAGGCCAAACATAATGATGAATAGTCCATTTGTGTACGGTTGTTTTAACTGGTAGAGAAGGTTATATAATGCACCAGTGATTTTTTTGAAAGGTATTTATAGATTCCGTTATGGGGGCTAACATATTATCTTAGTAAATGACAAAGCCTTGCATTGCTCTGAAAGCCGTAACGTTTTTTAATCAAAGCTAGTATTTTTCTTTACAAAATATTTACAAATTTAAACATTTATTTCATATAACTATAATTTTTTCTTCATCGTACCTGAATAAATAGGTAACCTATTTAGAAAGGGTTTTCATTTTTACTAGTTCAATAAATGGCATTATTTTATCATGTCAGAAAATGTGTATTGTCTGGAGCCTGATTTCAATTAAACAGTGTAATTATTTACTGATTGTAATTTTCTTACGAAGGATTGCATTATCAAAGTAGTAAAGTTAAGATGCTGTTGTGTATATAGTATATATAGTATATAATATAAAACAACTTCCCTTTCAGTGATTAAAATCCAACATTAATTATTGAAAAATAAAAATTTTACTCGTTGTTGGCTGAGATGATTAAAATAACAACAAACAAACAAACAAAGCAAAAAAAAATAAATAAATAAAAAAATAAATTAAAAAAATAAAATAAATAAACAACAAGAAACAAGTTATGTTCGGTAAACACAAATGTCCACCTGCCCCTACCCCCCCCCCCCTTCCGGGTGGCCTAGATTCATGTCAGTAACAATGTTTTCAAAAAAAGTTTACTAATTAAAAAGCACTCAGTTATAGACATAATTATTACCAAAATAATTGTAAACTATGGTGGCTGATTTGTGCCATTCCTGTTTTCGCCCCGTGACCCCGCCAAGCGAAAAGTTGAAAATTAACAAGTTAAAATGGCGGGGCGCAGACTGATAATACACTAATTAGCAATGGCATTGGGCGAAGTTTAATAAATAAAACTTCGTCCCGTGGGGGCGCGGAGCGAGATTTAAGAAATTAAAAGGACTATAGGTCAAATATTTTCTGAGCTACAAATGAGAATGAACGGACAAGGGTAAATCTAAATCCCCCCGCAAAGTGGGCGCACAAAAAAAAGTCTATTACGATATAGTTACCTCGAGTACAATATGAATTTGATATGGACGTTGTTGACAAAGAAAGTGACAACGGTGCTAACAGTATATAAGATGTATTTGAATTGGATTATACTTTTTTCGGGGAATAAAAGCGAGGCTAGATGGCGTTCAATATGCATTTAATACAAGACTTCTGGCTCAGGAAATAAACATGAAAATAATAGGATTGGATCAAATAATGAATTGATGATATTAAACATTATTTTTAAACAAATGAAGTCATGTGATTA